CACCAGAAAACTGCAAGAGGCAAGCGACATGATAGATCCCACTAGGTTTGGGGGATTTCAACCTGCTATCATGCATCCATCAACTGAAGGGATGCTGTCAGCTCATATGCAGGCCACATCAGAACTTTTCTAAAGCTAAGTTATGAAAAATGTAATACCAGGGAACATAAAGAACTGAGCTTGGGGCCCCACTGTACTAATACTCTGAAACTCTGCCTCACTGAGGCTATATTCTAAGTAGATAAATTAGACAAAGGGATGGAGGGAACACAGAGGCGCAGAGGGGTGAAGTGACATGCCCGGGGTCAGAGCTGGTCAGGGGGAAACTAGAATCTGGAACTTGGGAATACCCAACTTCTGGCTCCATACTCAGGACACGCAGGTGTTTTTCATCACTTACCTGATTCACCAGGATATCTCCTATCCTCTTGATGACAAAGTTCTTTTCACTTTTGTCCGCCAGGGACTCTTTCTTCCTCTCCAGAATCCGCTGGAAGAACTGGTTGTGGATGTTCAGCAAGTCATCCAGGCAAGGAAAGACCTTTTCTACTGTTTGCTGTTCAAACTGCAGTTCCTGCATCATTCCTCTGCTGTAGACGTCACTCATGATCTTCAGCGTTCGGACATGATGCATCTCTGTTTGCATCAGTTCTGAATAGGATGGGGACAGGGCCAACAAAAGAAGCATGTGAGGTGCCATCATGATGCACTACGCTATTAGTATCTTCTAGAGTGCTGTACTACCCATAGCACATTGCAAAACCAAGGAAATGCCATTGTCAGAGTAAGCTGGTTAGAAGGAATCTTTTTGGTGAATTAAGTTCACTTAAGTGCCACAGGACACATTTTCCCTATTCTGATATTACTCGTACTGAAAGGACGTACACATGTGAACTCAGGAAAAAACTCTGCTTACAATGCAGTCAGGACAGGATACTGGGCTCCAACATACTGTAGCTGGACTGTTTTGGCCTCTCTTACTAGGTACTGCATAGAGTAGTAATGTAAACCATATTTTATTTTTAAAGAGCACAGGACAGCATGGTTCATCTCATCAGGGCTTGGACACGAGCTATTTACATTGGCGCATCTGTTTTGTACATGAATGTAAACTGCACGAGGACAGGGAAGGGACAATGCATAAGCTTATCCTAAAATAGCAGACCATAGGCTGCCACTACCATACCTCATCACTAGGTGGCAGGGGAGCCAGTTATAACCTATTTGCACTGAGCAAATGGCTGCTCTGGGGTAAGTTGTGGATGTGTTCACGACTATCCCGGCATAATTTACATTAGAGTAGTTTTACTCCTGATTCTTTTAGGAGTTTATATCACCTGTCTATTCCTTGTTAACACTGGTTTAAAGGTCAATCACAGTGGTAGAAACATGTTGTGTGTCCTGGCCCATAGAGATAGAAATAACCTTGAGAATAGCTGCATGGAAGAATTGGTGGTTTGTCATTATAACAGAATATGACCAATAAGGAGACGGATAGATCATAGAATCATAGAAGTCGGGTCGGAAGGGACCTTGTAGATCTTCAAGTCCGACCCCCTGCCTGGGCAGGAGAGAAACTGGGCTCAAGTGACCCCAGTCAGGTAGGCATCGAGCCGCTTCTTAAAGACCCCCAGAGCAGGAGCCAGCACCACTTCCCTTGGAAGTTGGTTCCAGATCCTAGCCGCCCTAACTGTGAAGTAGTTCCTACGGATGTCTAATCTGAACCTACTCTCCAACAACTTGTGGCCGTTATTTCTTGTTATTCCGGGGGGTGCTGGGGGAAACAAGGTCTCCCCCAAACCTTTCTGGTCCCCCCCAGTGAGTTTATAGATGGTCACAAGGTCCCCCCTCAGCCTTCTCTTGTGAAAGCTGAACAGGTTCAGGTCCCGTAGCCTCTCGTTGTAGGGTCTGCCCTGCTGTCTCTGGATCATGCAGGTGGCCCTCCTCTGGACCCTCTCAATGTTGTCCACATCCCTCTTGAAGTGGGGCGCCCAGAACTGGACACAGTACTCCAGCTGTGGCCTGACCAGTGTCGTGTAGAGGGGGAGGATCACCTCCTTGGACCTACTTGTGATGCACCTGTGGAAGCACGATAGGGTCCGGTTAGCCCTGCTGACCGTGACCTCGCATTGTCGGCCCATGTTCATCTTGGAGTCAATGATGACTCCAAGATCCCTTTCTGCCTCCGTGCTCTCAAGAAGGGAGTTTCCCATCTCATAAGTGTGCTGCCGGTTACTGCTGCCCAAGTGCAGCACCCTGCACTTGTCTGTATTGAAACGCATCCTGTTTTTGTCAGCCCACCCTTGCAACCTATCCAGGTCTTTCTGCAGTCTTTCCCTCCCTGCTAGCGTGCCCACCTCACCCCAGATTTTGGTATCATCAGCGAATTTGAACAGGTTGCTTTTCACCCCATAGTCCAAATCGCTGATAAAGAAATTGAACAGTGCGGGCCCAAGGACCGAGCCCTGGGGGACTCCGCTGCCCACTTCCCCCCAGGTCGAATATGACCCGTTCACCACCACCCTCTGAGTACGACCCTTCAGCCAATTAGCAATCCATCTGACCATGCAGGCATCGATGCCACAGTCGCCTAGTTTAACGAGGATGGGGTGAGAGACAGTGTCAAAGGCCTTGCTGAAGTCCAGAAAGACTACATCCACAGCGACACCTGCATCCAATGCTTTTGTGACCTGATCGTAAAAGGCAATCAGGTTAGTCTGACATGACCTGCCCCTAATGAAACTGTGCTGGTTGCCCCTCAGCATCACCCCTGATGCCGGCCCATCACAGATGTGCTCCTTGATGATCTTCTCAAAGAAGATGACTGACAGATCACTAGAAAATCAGCTGCTAAGTGCTTGAGGCTAGCGGTTGACCAAGAACATTTCTGAAAATTCTTTTACAAATGTCAGGAATTTTCAGACGTGAATATATGAATTTTACTTATGGCATAGCTTGGAGCCAGTCATCTATCTCTGTTCTTTATTTCTGGGAATATCTATATTGTTAACAGAATCTGAACACAGCAGAGGGACAGATAACAGTAACAACCACTGCAATGATCCGATTGTGTGCAACACATTAGGATTCTTGTATCAAGATGGTGAAAAAACAAATACAAGTAACTACTCTGAACACACCGGTAACTGAGTGTAAAGGTGTGCAACAGAAACTGGGGAATGCTGTTTGTTTGCACTGTTCAAGGCGAGTGAGAGATAGGTGGCTAAAGTTTACAAAAGGGCACTGGAGAACTTCATTTCCAGCCAATTCTGGATCTCATGAAGTGTCAACATTTTCATTAAGTTAAAGTTTCCAAATTATTCTTGAACTGAAAAAAACAATACCAAAATAGCTGTTCCAAAACAGAAGGTTCCTGCAGTCAAACAAAGTCTCTTATAATGACTGCATGTCTCACCATAAATGACGTCTTGCCGTTTGACAACATCTTTCTTTTGCTGACGCAGGAACTTGCTGTCCACTACTTGACTCCACGACTCTGCCTCCAACTGCTTGGAATCTAACTCAAAGTCCCCCATCAGCTGTCCTTCATTCATGTCTGTACCTGCATAAAGGCAACATAAATAAGTTATGAAGACACAGATGACTGGCCCTATTTGAAATTTCTACTAGGTATTCTAGAAATTTCTACTAGGTATTCAGTTTTAGGTTTTGCCATGAGTGCCATGAACATCATACGCATTTCTGACTACTGGCATGGAGATAATTACGTGGAACTGTACTCAGTAAGTTTGGTAAGGAAAAGTACTTTTCTAGCTTGCATGGTAGTTGCGCTACGCAAGTCCACAGTTACCAGGTAGACTGAACTGTAGCTTAAAGACTAGAAAAAAATAGCTGTATTTTCTAAATAATTGCATAATAATTAAAGTGCTATTTGTCCTCCTTTGTTTATACCAGTAAACTAACAGAACTGTTAAGGAGAGATTTGTAAAGCCTGTAGTTTGAAGCTAAGAAAACCATGGGCTTAGAGTGGAAGATTATATGCATCAGTAGCAACCTATTTCCAAAGAAATCATGCATTTGTGCCTGGAACAAAATATGCAAGAATTCAAGGCAGCTGGAAAATTTCCCTGCCACCAAAGTCTCTCTCTTGTTTGGTTCCTCCTGAGTTAAGTCCATTCTGTATTTTGCTGCTCAGTGTCAGCTACCACGTGAGTTGTTTAAAAACTAAATTATAACTTAGAAAACTCTCTGCTTAAAAGTTAACTTCTTTTCTTAGTTTGAGTTACACTAGGTGCATTATTTTTAACTAAAAAAGGACAAATTAAACTCTATTTGGAACATACTGACAAGAAAAAATGTAAAATGTGTAGGGCAGGTAGATGAATGGACCAGAAAAGCAGAACTATGAAAGAAGACTAGAGAGGAAAGATCCACTCCTAAACTATAAAGAGCCAAGTCACTGAAATGTAAATGAAACCCTTTGCGTCTCCCTCCCCCCTCCCGCTCCCAATTAGAACTTGCTAAAATGGTCTCTTTTATAAAGAAATTACTAAATGGGCCCATGTTTTATTTTATTGTCTACATTTTCTAAAGTAAAAGGAAATAAAGGCTTTAACTTTCCATCAAAGAAAACTTATTTCAAAACGCAGTTAATGGATTTTGCATTTCTAGCAAGTAACACTGAGACCTTCCACGTGCTGGTGATGCTTTTCCGTTTATCTGAATACCACTAGGATTTCTTACCCTCATCAATGAGCGACTCTGTGGATTCATTCACTCGGCTGATTTTATGTAAAGAGTCTGTTGACTGCGACAGGTATTTCCAATTATTTATTGAGCTTTCCTCACTGCCAACTCTGCAGACAAAAAGAAAACAGAAGACTGGTCAGGACTCTTGACAGCCAGGCAATTGTTCTTCAAGTTGCCATAAATGTTGTCTAGTTATGCACAAGTGTAGGTACTGAATGCATGTAGTGTTGTTATGTACGTTTATTGCTAATAACAACAAATTAGGGTTCAGTAAACTAGATAACCTCAAATTCTAACCGAACTGGGCATTTCCTAAAAACATACAGCAAATCTTTGAAGTATTTTTCCCTATTTGTATTGCCACCCAGTTCCTTATTCTAGCTGGGATAGGATTTAAGCCAAAACATAGTATGAAATGCTGTTCAAGTTACTGTTTTTCCATTTCCAGTGATGCTAAGAAAGATTGGAAATTTCCCAAGGGAGCCTATGCAAGCAAATGTCTAGCTGAATACATTCAATCTAAAGATTTGGATACGAAATTAAACTTGTAGATAATTTTTTCCCTCCCAGATTGAGCCTTTTGATATTCCCTTTCACACCTCTACAAATACACACCCCAGAGTATATTTTAAAATCACTGGTGTTAAGAAAAATGGAAATGAGAATTTTTTTTGTAGAAATGCTTCCTCTTTATCAACCTTCTGTATGTATAATGATAGTGTGGGTAATAGAGCTCTTATTATCATGGGCTCTGAATGGGTCCATAGCTTGCAAACTGTTGAAAACTGAAACTCACAGTAGACAGGAAATCTAAGTTATATTTCTCACAGTATCTTATGCCTTTTGAGCATGCTCAATGTAAGACTTGTATTTCTGTATAGGAAAACATCTTTTATAACTATGTATACAGAAATGTGCGCACAGATTATTCTTAAAAAAAACAGGAAATAATGTACAGCTTTCACTATCCTCACAGTGCAGTTGCTGTGCTTTTTCACGGTGAGACAAAAACCCTTACCCAGCAATGTTCTGTATCGAAACGCTTTTTGAAAGTGCTGTGCTCTGTTGTGATCTCCTGTTATTGAATAGTGAGGTGACGGTGTTTTCATCAGGGGCAAGTATTGCAGAGCGGGGGCGCTCCTTAGGTTGTGAGGCTAGAGGAGAAAAGTCAGATTTCTGATTAGATGCCATCCCACCTCCTTGCTAACCTCAACAGGACGATTCAACCAAATTGCTTTGTACAATGCACTTCCTCTATGGAAGAGTTCCCAAATGTTTTCTTCTTGCATACCCTCATCCAGATTTTCCAGCTGCCTGCATGCCCCTACCAGCATACATTTTACATTTTAACCCCATAAATGCTAGGTATTATTATAATGAAAATTAAATCCGCTATTACCCAATTTCTCCCGTGTACCCATCAGACATATCTTGCGTACCCCCAGGGGTACGTGGACCACAGTTTGGGAACCCCCGCTTTTGGGAGCAGATTCCAAGCTATGCACGGTGATAGCTCCGCTGAAATCTGATCTCCCTTCAAACCAATTTTAACATAAGATCCATTAAAAAATCCTAATCAAGGTAACTTTTCCATTCACTTTGACAATTTTGCTGAATTTTAGGGTTAGACTTCTGTAAGCAAGCACAAGTTGTGCTCTGTTAGTCACAGGGGCATGGGAGCAGCAGAGCAGCCTGCAGGTGGCTGCACTCCCAATCAGGCACAGCCGCCTGATTGGGAATGGGGCCCAACCGTAGGTGATAAAAGCAGGCTCTGAGCCACAGAGCCCACAGTTTGCTTCTAGCAGCCAAGGGGAAAACATCACCTAGCTGGAGCTGCTGATCATGCAACATCTTGGAGGTACAGGGAAGAAGCTATGGGGAAGGTGGTGGCTCCTGGGGCACGACCTAAAGCTACACCCTGCTGGGGCTGGATGGTGTGGTGGGGCTGTCTCCAAGAAATGCCACACCTATGCCTCTCCAGTGAAGGGTGAGTATGGGGTGCCAGAAAGTCTCAGCCCCCGCTGCCTTGCAGGTTACCCCGTGGAGAGGAAAGGCTAGGGGAGCACACCCCGAAAGACAAAGCAAGGGCGCAGGTTAACCGTGTGGAGCTTGAGGCAGGGTCCAGGTCATGAAGGGGCCTGATGGCTCAGATCCACAGTGAGGTCTGAGGCATACAAAAGGAGCCAGGTCTGAGGCTCCAAGGGGGGTGGGATTCTGAGCCCTAAGAAGGAGCTGGGCGTGAGGCTCCAGGAGCAAGGGGATTGAGGCCCAGTGTCGGGCAAGGGGATTAAGACCCCAGTGTGGGGGGCGTGAGGGGACCAAGAGGGTCCCAAACCAGGCAGGGAGCCCAAGGAAAAGCAAGGGGCTGGGAGCCCCAAATGAGTGCGATTGTGACCCCAGTGTGAGGGCATGGGAGTGAGAGTCCCAATGTGAGGCACTGCAGCACAGGTCCCAGTGTGAGGGCACAGGATTATATGTTGGGTATTAGGCCATGCAAATTTAGGCTGGGTGTTAGGCCATGGATGCCATCTGTGAGGCATGAAATACGGTATAAGAGGAGGTCGGAGCCATGTATAGGCCCTTGGCACCAGGGCAAGTAAATGGGCAGCTTCCTGCCTTGTTATCAACTTTCAAATGTTTCACCAAAGGCGTAGCAGGCAAGATAGGAGGGCGGTTAGCCCAGAAACAAGCGGGTGGGCCGAGTCGACCAGCCCCGAGATGGCCACTTATTACAAGTTCCTCCCTCCTACCCCCCACCAATATCTTTGGAAAAGTATGGAGCCTACACGGCGTGGCAAGATGGTTTGTATTGGTTCCGGCCTCTTGAGAGAGAAAGCACTTGAGTATAATTAAATTCTAATGTGATACTGGGGAAAGAAAATGAAAAAAGATGATGCACTGCCAGCCATTATTTTTTGTGACCCAGTTTGTTTCTTCATATTCCTATGCAGGGAAGTAGTGACCACACTGTTACTACACTGAACACCCATGCTTTCCAAAAGGGACACAGGAACACCTTTGAACTCTTCCCTGTTCTGCCTGTGCTACCCGTGGCCTGATGGAGAGCTGGGTAGAATACACAAGCCCTTAACCACTCTCTTGGGAAGTGGAGAACTTTATTCAGTTCAACTGAATGAGCAACACGACCTGTACTTCCTTGAGTGCACAGCTCTTCTCACCCCTGATATGCCCTGAACTCTCTCGGAGTGGGTTCTTTGACTTTCTGCTTGCACAACAGACAGAAATATCCATCCTATGTCATCCTCACTCCAGTTATGCTGAAGGACTTGGAATATAGGAACTAGGAAAGGTGTCTGAGGATGTACCCATTTCTTTTTCTCCCTGTTCAGCTTTTCTGGTGCTTAGTGGGGTGTTGTTGCTCTGCCTGGCAGTAGCAACAAGGAACAGCTCCTTCCAATGGCACAGTTTGGAATGATCCTATTCTTTTTAACTTGGCCTTTGAATAAAACACTCAGTTTAACCATTGTTTTATACATTTTCTTTGGTCCTGAATAACCTAGCAATCTACACTAACAAAACACTAATGCTCACTCTTTCCAGTGTCAAGAAGTTATTGGCAGCCATTCTTGTTTCAAATGATGTTAGCTTCAATGCGAGCCAGAGGAGCCTATGGGCTATTTTAAAATTACACCTGAGTGGATATTGTCCCTATACCACTTAAACAGTTGCAGAGTTCTGCTGCTTTGCTCCATCCTTAATTTTCCCCTTCCACTATGGTGAGATATTAGTTGGCTCACACAACAACTATGATGCCTCTGATCCAGTTAAGAACTCACTAACCCAGGGACATTTTCAGTTGAGCAGCCATGACTAGATTCCAGCTTCTCCAAATCACCTAAATGGAACTGGATAACTAGAAAGCACCGCATCTCCAACACTTCATCACAGCCTTAAATCAATTTAAGATTATACAGATAACACAGAAAAGTATAAGCCGTTTGCTCGTTACAGTCACCACCTCTAAAATCCTGAGCACTGCTTTCTGTGCACAGAATAGATAACTCTTCCCTGTATCATAAAATGTTTTTCATCGTACTAAAGTGTGCAATATTGCTTGATCACAATAATTAAAGATAATGATAAAAAATTGGCAGCTTTTAAGGAGGAACATTAAGGAAAAAAAAAAGAAGGAAAGGCTTACGTTTGTTTCTCATAATTACTGCGGGTAATGATGAGGTATCATGTGCCTGCAGCATCCCTTTTTGTGGCTGAAAGAAAAAGAAAATAGACTTAACTTCCTCACTTAACAGGAGTAGAGGCCTTTGCTTATCTATAGATACTTTTTAGTTTTCATTATATAGCTACCAAGATCTGAATTTTCTCAGAACTGCTTAGAGTTTGGACACGGCACACTGGGCATTGGCATATGGCATTGCTGTTAGCTTGGGGGTGAAATCCAAGTCATTGGACTGTACATAATGACAGGCAGAGAAGCACTTGCAACACAAAGGAAAGAAAACAAAAGGAAGGGCTGATACTGCAAGATTATTAAAAAGTCTATTAAAAATTCATGGAGGTAGCATTATACATAACCGGCAGGGTTATTATTTTTTAACTCTAATCATAACACAAAAAAGAGACTTCTCCCCAACCACAGCTCACCTGTTTAAAAAAAGAAACGAAAAACTTAAATGAGAAAAGCATGGTAGGCTGATGAACTTGGATAAAGGCTGTCTGTATATTGGACAACGATATTCATCAAGAACCATTATATATTGCACAAACCACTATTTTAAAAGAAACTCTAAGCAGCAAAATCAAGCACTCCACAGTTAAGAAGTGCCACAATTAAGGGGGAATGTGCCCTATTGTAGATGTGTGTTATACTTCTGTCTTTAACTACATCATCACACACTACTATTTCCCAAAGATCTCTGCTTCATTCAATGACAGACAGACTGTGATCCCTTTTCTGATCAGCATTTTGTTTTATTTTATCTCCTTGCTCATCCCCTTCTAAGCCCTGCTTTTCACCCTGATGCACTCCACATGGCCTGCTACCTCTTTCTCCAGGCTGACTGTTCACCAGCCTGGAGAGTGTTGAGAGCAAACAAGCCACCGCTTTCCCAGTCTTCCTGCTCTCAGTGCCTGTACCAGCAGGCCTCCTGTTCCTCTGGCTGGGGAGGACCAATTACAGGGAAGGCCTTGTGCAGAAGATGCTCCACATCTGTATTCTGAAGAAAGGCAGTGACCACACTGGAAAAGCCCAGCACCTGAAGCATCTTGTGTATCAGCATCCATGTGCCTCAAAATGGCCATTTTTAAACATGGAGATGCTGATACAGGAGACAGTGGAGGCTGCTGGAGCACGGTAATTAATCACCACGCTCCAGCAGACTCGATTAATCGAGTTTGCTCTGATGTGCTGTAATTACAGTGTGTTGGAGCAGCCTCGCTGCTCGTGTATAGGTACCCCTAATGCTTAAAGCAGCTTGAAACAATCTGTTCTCTTCCTACAATCCCATGCCTCATTCACTATGTTATTTCTAGAACAAACAAGGCAGAAATGCATCCACTTTGGCTATGTGGCATTCATTCACTCATTGAGCACCATCCAACCAGAACACAGACACAGCGATTTTTAAAGAGGTTTGCAACTGTAAAGGACTGTTATAACTCATATACTCAAGATGATCAAATTGGACAGACCACATGAACCTTGGCATTTCCAAATTCTTGAGCCCCTCACTTTGTAACATTAATGCTCTTTTAGTGAGTGTGGACTTGTGTGTGCATCTTCTAAAAGTTATTACAAATGAGCTCTCCCCCTCCCAAAATAGATATTCTACCAGGTGGAATTCATCAGCATCGCTGGATCCTTTAGCTCTGCACCAGACATCTGCCACTCAGGCACCCACAGTCACGACAGCACTAGCAGAACGTCACTATTTCTGGAGACCATCACCAGAGGAAGATGGCATACCCACCTATTTCTTTGCTTGGCTCTGCATCTTAATCCTTACCCTCACCCTTTGTGCAGATCCCTCAAACTGCCTTAAGACTTCTCCCATTTACACATCAGCTCTCACTCTGGATAATGATTATAAATTTTAGGAGAGCCTAGGGAAATCCATCCCTGTAATGCTAGGTACTGAAGTTTCTGCCCAGCAAACTGGAAATTCCTGGGACTAGTAGGGGAGACGCTCCATACCTGCATTTTAACATAGCCCTCCCATTCAGCAGATAACATGACACCTCTTACCTTCATTTTGACCTTTGCACAGGAAGCCAGGCTCTCCTTGCAGCCTTTGTGAACAATTGCATTGCAGTCTGCAAAATGGGAAAAACATACACACAAGCCAGGTCAGAACATCATTTCATTTCTGTTCATTTGTCCACTGAACACCATTTACATTTCTAATTGAGACTTTGAATACTTCAGGAGTTTGACTTCTGGTCATAAACAGGAAGAAATTCTACATATTACTAAAAGCCCTGCTCCATAATAATTAGGCCACATAATGGCATCAATCATTAACAAAATCCCGTATGGTTTGGGGTTTTTTTGGAAGATCTGTGTAAAACATCTAAGGCATGCAGAGTCCCAAAAGATACAAAGATGCCTGTTATGCTTTCAATGACAAATAAAGGAGGCATGGAAAGGGGGAGGGGGAGACTCAGAAGCCAATTAACATGTGTAGACATGATTAAAAGCTTATAACCAGAGGCAGGCAGAAGTAGGGACAGATTTAAACACAAGCAAATTCTTTAGAAAACCCAAATGCTTTCTAAATAAGGCCCTAACTCTCCCCCCACAGACCACTACATATACTCTTCCTTGCTTGTAATTTTAATAATATTTGCTATCAACCCTTGCAGCCACAAAAGACCAAGAATACCGAATCTCACCACTCAACCAGTGAGATCCACATTTAGTGAGTGCTGGGATGTTACAGAAGAGTGAAAAATTCCTTCTTTTCCTGGCCTGGCCTAGAGTAATGGATAATATTGTGATTTTTCCACACTTTGAGAAGACAAAAGGCTCTGATGCATTATCAGCCACATTCAAAAGATTTCAGGTATCTGAAGCAAAAATCATTTGACAACCACTTGAGAGATGTCAGTGCTATTTGAATTCAAACTCAAGCCTCAATCTTGTTTCAGGACCTGACTCTCAAACCCTAATCTACACTTCATCTAGAGCCAAGTGTCACTTCCTCAGCTGGATCTGCAATAAAAAAATAAAGTGCTTATGTCAAGATAGGACCAAGGAGCTGGCCAGACAGCACTAATATGTTGGCTTTAACTGATGCAAAAACCCCACCATCATATTTTATATGGAAATTCTGATTCCAACAATATTGCTTCCAAAAATAGTTCCAGCCCTAGCCTTCAACTTTTCCCTCCATTAACCAAACCATTAATAATAATTAGGGAAGAAAGAAGTTCTGCTTTGCTCCAGCTGGCATTCTAAATTACAGAGAAATGCCAGAGTTACTCAACAGTGACCTTTCAATACACCTGCAGTGTCTCCAATTTTAAAAAGGATCGTGTTAATTCTTGCAGCGTTTAATAATTTGAACTACTCAGTTGGAAAAATAATCTCAACGGTTCATAAATCCATTGACTTAATAGGACCCAAACCTCTCAATTTACTTTTTTTTTTAAACCACAGTCTTAGAGATGACAAAAAAAGTCACAGTGGTGACATGTCTGTGAAAATGTTGGCCAACGCTGCAGGAAGCCATGGCCAGCTGAAGCAATAACCACCGGCTATGGCCAGCTGATGCAAATACCATGACTGCTGCTCAGTGCTGGTCATTCGCAAAAAGGATGTGCATCACAAGAGTCTTGGGGGCATAAGGTTAAGATATTTTGCTGCTGCTCTAGAGGCTTCAGCTTGAGCCCCATGCCAGGTTTGTGCTGAAGTTCAGCCAGCTGACCCAGCTGTACCTGTCATTCAGGTGGGGGAGTCGAAGACTGTGGGGCACGGGGCTCCTAATTGGCTTCTCAACCTGGAGCACCTCAACTGTGCTAACCCTAAGGGGCACTGGACTTTGAAGGACCTTTGACCTTTTGAATATAACATTATAGATTTCATAGACATTAGGGGCTGGAAGGGACCTCATGAGATCATCGGGTCCAGCCCCCCCTGCCATAGGAAGGAAGTCAGCTGGGATCAAGCGACCCCAGCAAGAAATATATCCACCTGTTTTTTGAAAGAGTCCAGAGTAGGTGCTTGCACCACTTCTCGGGGGGAGTTTGTTCCAGATCCTAGATTATGCTGATATGGGTTTCATTTCTGAGATACAGGAACTGCCTGGAAGCCTCTGCTATGCAGCAGGATGGAGTACGAGTGGCACTCGTTCTCCAGTGAAATACGAACCTCCTCCAGCCCCTCACGCCCTCCCCCAGCCCCTGGGCACGTGCCAAAGGATTCGTCTCACAAAGGAGGAATGAAACAATGGGGGAAGCCACAAAACAGTGCCAAAGCATCCAGGCAACAATTCAGAGCAGCCGTTTGAAATGTGGGCTGGGTATCTGCTTTAAGTGCAGAGCTCAACTCGGCTTTATCTAGGAGCTGCAACTGCCACCTCCATTATGACCACCTTCCTGTTTTGCTTCACAAATTAGACTGCCACTTGGTTTGAACGGTTTGCACCCTGATGTGATGCATCCCTTTTCCCACACAACGCACCCCCTCTCAGTGGTGAGCTGCATGGGTTTCAAACACTAAAGCAGCAAGGCACCCTCTCTTCCTACAACCCGCGGGGCTCTGATTTGATGCGGGACATTGAAACAAACAGCGCTTGGTTGTTTTCCCTTCCGATTCCACCTTATGGAGAGGGCCAATGCACACTGCATGCTCCTGTAATTTTTGCAGTGACTCTTCCAAGTATAGCTGGATTATATACAAGCAGAAGAAAGGGCAGCTTTGCAGCTTTATAGACTAGCTAAATTAGAGCAGTCTAGCATACGCTTATAAATTTGTTGCAGCATCTTATGCAGCTACAGTGAGTGGCTCTCTCACAGGGTAACATCTACTCTTTCCTTAGAAGTACATCCATTCATAATGTGCAAGTTAGAGAGGTCACACACATGTATAAGAACGGATTTTGAAAGAAAGAAGAATATTCTGGTTCCCAGCTTTCAACGAACACATACGGGAGTCTGGCATCGGGATCCCTGAAAGCTCTCCCCCAGGTCCCTGGATATCGTAAGTGGGTGATTGCAGAGATGCAGCTGTTGTTGTTCAGCATAAGTATTATATGGTGTCTTTATGATTATAATTGACTTCCTCTTGTGTCTATCACCGTGAGGACAGCAGTCTAGGCACTGGAGCGTGGTAAAAAGTCCCTACACTGCGTGCATGTCTTTTAACTCTTTAAACCTTTGTATAGCTTCACGCATGAAGTGAAAGGAAATGTCACAAACCAATGTACATCTTGAACAATGCTAATTAGAGAGGCTTGGTAAGTGAATCCCGATCTTGGCAAGCCCAAAAGCTGCTGGGTCTTTATTGACAAAAGGTATTTAAAAAAAAACTGAAGTTCACTGGGATGTAAAGAAAGTTAAACACAGAGACATGTGGTTTCTTAAGTGGATTGAGAAGATTTCTTTCCCCCCAAAAAAGTAAACAGGGAAGAGAGAGGACACATTTAAGAGTCTGTAATTATTAACATTTTCCACTTCCTGTCAGACTGCTTCATGCAAACAATCTTGCCGCAGTCCCTTCTCCTCCAGGAAACTCCAAAGCTGCCTCCGACTCTGGGGACACAAACTGGCTATTGTCCTTTCTGCCTCTCTCCATAACAGCTGTGGACACTGGTTGTCTGTTGAAGCTGACCATCCTTATCCTTCTTGCTAGATGGCAGAAGGCTGGAAACAGCAGTAGCTCCCACCCTGCAGCAGAACAGACCATTCACAGCCCTTTGCTTTACAATAGCTCGAGGCTGGAGAACTCCCCACTAATGGGAAGGCAGAACGTGCAGAACTGTGCATAATCCATAAACCATTTAGGATCCAAGTGAGAAAGTGGCCTCCACTTCTAACTGGAAGAGGTACTTGCAAATACTCTGCACTAGTTAAATTTGGGTATGGAAACCATCATGGATTAGATACTAAGGATTGAAAGTGCCAGGCAGGAGTGGGGAAAGCATTGCTGTGCAGCTCTTTACCCATCTTGCAGCTCTGCACTCAATACTCTAAAGCACCCCCAGTTCTCTGGTTTCTGCTGAGCTCAACCTTCCAGCCTTATCAATGACATGCACTACTTTGTCATATGAATAACTGTTCAACAGAAGCGAGAGCAAGATGCCCAGGCTCATTTTAACAGGAAACCGTCTCCCAGCCAGTGCCCAGTTTGCTGTCTATGCTACACAACATATCCTGAGCACTGCTTAAGTCCTCAGTGATAACAGTGCAAACTTGCACACTTTCCTCACTAATGTTCCCCCCACATACATGCATCCATAATTATCTATCACTCACACAGTCTTTTCAACGTTAAATGGCTAATATTTTCCTCTGAGACACTGTTAATCTAAGCTAACAGCCACTATAGACTGGGAACCAGAGAACGCACCTTCCCTTTTTCTGCCCCAAACCAGCCATATTTCTGCCTGACTTGATAACAAAACCAGAATCAGGTTTCTGAGAGCCCAGCCCCCCACCTTATCAAAAGCACCTGAAAGCATGGGAAGATGCTACAACAATTGAGACAACTACTCTCACCTTTCAAGAGTTAAGATTTACTCCTGCTGGTAATCCTGAAAAGAACTATGGCTGATATCTGATCTGATGTGAAGTCTCATCATCGTGCACGTGCACAGGAACACAAAGAGGGCATGCTCATTTCAGACTGCAGCACTGCCCCTCCAAGAGCTCACTGAAACACTGAGCCAGTATCTGATGGAGCTAACGCAGCACTCTAAGTATACATGGGACTGAACACTTTTTCTTCCTGCAGTGGAAATGCAAAGCTGAGACCAAGGTACTTCAGTCCCAAGCCTTTACACAGCTTCAGTAGCATCTTTCAGTCCTAATTTGCTGCAACCAAGCTGAGCGTGGATGAATACACCAGATCACATTATACCTCTGAACTGAGCCAATCCTCAGTCGCAAACTAGGTTGAAAGTCGAGTTCAATTTCATTTTAGTTTTTTATTTGAATCCAAGCTACTTGAGATAAAAAAAAAAACTGATGCATGGAAACCCCATTTAGTTCTCCCTTCATCAAGTGCTAAAACTCTCAAAGTGAAGGGCTAAATAAAGAAGAAAATCAACCATAAGCCATCCTGACAGATGACAAATTTTCTCCCTGCAGTGCAACACAAAGGCAAAACCACTTACTTGCACAGAGGTACGAATCCTTGTTGAAAGGTTTCATACAGTGGTGACAGGTGATGGGACCCACAACAGGGGTTGTGTTGAAGAGGTGCCCATTTAACAACTTCTTGTCTTTTTCTTTCTCCTTGGAATCTTTGTCTTTCTCTTTAATCTTCTCCTTATCTTTCTCTTTTTCCTGCCAAAGAAAAACGAGGCAGCTCTTTGTTACTTTGTTGAAGACAATATTGTTTGCCCTCAGTGCCACAGCTCTACTGACCCATGAACACCTTCACATGTAATCATAGGTCTTTCCAAGCCTTGGTTAGGAACCAAATTTATGGCCTACACAGAAAGGAATTATCATGCTACACTGGCATTTTACAAGTACAGTTGCTCAAGACCGGAGGTTTCTTCTCCAAACATTTGTGTTTCTTTTCATTTCTGGCTTCAGGCAAATACCTTAGCCCTGATCATAACTCAATAGTAACTGGGGAAAACAAAGTTCTGCACAACTTTCAACAAACTACAGGATAACTAAACCAACAGTTTCTACATGGACCAAACTTGTAAGGCCGTTGTACAGGACTTAGATTTTGCAATTTCATCTTAAATTGAGAAACAGAACTATACTGAGTGTTTATAAAGTCCTTTCGCAGCTTTAAACTTTAATAACTTTGGATGTACACATGAAGCAAACTGTGAACGGCGACTAAAAGCAGAATTCATCAAGTTTTAAGACAGCACAGCTCAAATTTCTAGACTTCACCATAACCGCCATCTTTCATGACGCATCGTTCAATCAGATTTTCCAACTCACAGAAAGCTTACACTATGCTAAAAAACTTAATGAATTTTGCTTTCAATTGCCGTTCACAGTTTGCTTGTATTATGTGTGTATTTAAAGTTATTAAAGTTTAAAGTTGCACAAGGACTTTATAAACACCCTGTGTTTATAGAGTGTGCTCTAGGACATAAAGCTGGCTTAGCGGCCTCTGGTTTCCCTTCTAACTTGGTGTCACTTACCTCAATGGTTACCATTTCATGCAATTGGCTGCAAATAACTGTTGAGAAATGTTTTTCACAAATTTTTTATCCACAGCACAACTGATAATTTGCTATACACTGGTTAAATGTTCTCTGAGTCATCTCTGGTGCTATCTTCAGTGTGGCTCCACTGTTAACCAGAGAGAGTGAAGACAGACAAGAGACTGGCTAAGCTAAAAAAAGTCCCAATAGTTGGTCTCCGCTTGGAGAAGGAAGGGCATAACCTCCGAGGCTTGGTAGTTTTTGGCAGGCTGATTAGCAAAGCCAACCGTGCCAGAAAAAAAAAAAACTGTCTCCCCTTCCTACCCTGAAGATAACATACAAAATCGGTAAGGTCACACTCCTCTAAAATATCGATTTAAAACCGGATACCAATTTTACAGGTTAATTGGTAACTCAAAAGCTACGTCACAGAAGACACAAAGATTCTCATATCACTCGTGATCTGGTTGAAAACCCTTAAATACGAAGATACTGAAAAATAAAGGAAGTGAGACTCACTGGTTTCTTATGTGCCTGGAAGTCCTTTTAAATACAGGACGGCCAGCACTGGAGTTTTAGCTCCTAGTCCCTGCTGTGCTTCCTCACTCACAAATTCCAAATCTGAGCAATACCCGCCCCCAACACTAGCACTTACCAAACTAACTATTGTTATATCATGCTTTTTTTTTTTTTTAATTTCAATTGATGACTGCAGCCATGAGGTCTTGTGACAAAGAAATCACAACCAAGCCTGAAGTGAAATTAGGATGGATTTTGGTGGCTTTTATTTGCACGTTGTTAACTGCACGCAATGTGCCAGGGACTAAATATTTTTGCAACAGAGGTCTAAGCAAACAAACAAAAAAGTCAGCCCTCCTGCTGCTTGGCAGCTGAGCTGGACAATGGCAATGAAGTAGTTAATGCTGGGGTGGCAACTTCTGCAATCACCAAGAAAAAAACTTCAGAGCCTTTGATAACCCACGCAAATAATTAGTAACACTAACATTATAACATTTCTGCTTCTCTCTATGAACCCAAGGCTGAATGCCAAGACCTGAGTCCATCCCAACAGTGTCTGATAAAGAACCCCTCCAGATTATCAGCTGCTGCCCCAAAGCCCTTCTTTCTACAGCATCCATAGTTTCATAGTAGCTAGGGTTGGAAGGGACCTGAGCAGATCATCAAGTCTGACCCCCTGCCCTGGACAGGAAAGGATGCTGGGGTCAAACGACCCTGGCAAGGTGTCTATCCAGCCTCCTTTTAAAGACCCTCAGGGTAGAAGTGAGCACCACTTTCCTTGGAAGTTGGTTCCAGCTCCTAGCCACCCTGACTGTGAAGTAGTGCCTCCTGATGTCTAGCCTGAATCTACTCTCTGTCAACTTATGGCCGTTATTCCTCGTTACTCCTGGCAGTGCTCAGGGGAACAGGGACCCTCCCATTGCCTGCTGGTCTCTCTTGGCCAGTTTATAGACGGCCACCAGATCCCCTCTCAGCCTTCTCTTGTGGAGGCTGAATGGGTTCAGGTCCCTCAGCTTCTTCTCGTAGGGCCTGCCTTGCTGACCCCTGATCATGCGGGTGGCCCTCCTCTGGACCCTCTCCATGTTGCCTACATCCATCCTGAAGTGTGGCGCCCAGAACTGGACGCAGTACTCCAACTGTGGTCTGACTAGTGTCATATAGAGGGGGAGGATCACCTTCTTGGACCTGCTCGAGATGCATCTGTGGATGCATGACACGGTGCGGTTAGCCTTCCAGACCGTGTCCTCACATTGGCGGCCCATGTTCATTTTGGAATCAATAGAGACTCCAAGATCCTTCTCTGCCTCTGTGCTGACAAGAAGGGATCCTACAGCAGCCTGTAGACATACTGCTGGATCTTCCTCCCCAGGTGCAACACTTGTCAGTATTGAATCCCATCTTGTTCTCATCTGCCCACCCCTGTAACGTGTCCAGATCCAATTGCAACCTGTCCCTCCCTTCTTGTGTGCCCACTTCTCCCCACATCTTAGTGTCATCCATAAAATGCAAGAGAGCATTACAAGACTATGAAAGTCCTATTTAAAGCTGTCACTCCTGTCTGTAGCTCATTCCCAGTGCTGTCAGCTACCAAACCTTTGATCTAGAACTGTGACCTGCTAGTGAAAGGCTCTATATCTGCCTATTCAAAATCCACTGCACTAGATGACTCAAGCAGCGTTCAGTTCAGGAATTAAATGCTGCGGACTAGTTCTTACGGGACGGGAGCTTGACAACCTACTTGCTTGACAGTCAGAATTGGATGAATTCAGACACTGAACACCAGGATCTTCCTAGGCCCAAACCAGACATTGGAAGACCTGAACACCTTCAGAACTACGCCACGAATGCATCTGGTGTTTAAAGACTAGCTTGGGCAATTTGGTGTTTCTGACAGCTGGGGAATAAAAGAAAGCATTCTTTGTAAAATCGTAAGGACATTTTTTAAAATGCTTTTAAAAGTTCAGAATACTTCAGTTAAAAACAGGAAATGATGTACCACCTTCAGTGAGCCAAACAGCAACTTTCGTATGTCAGGTGCTCATACTGGTACAGAAACTGCACCAAAAAAAAAAAAAAAAAAAAGTGTTACCATGAAACAAAATGTTCTTTCTACACTACAAGCTACGGAAGAGATCGCCAAAAAACAAGTGAAAATAAAAATGCTTTTCAGCCACACACTAACAACCAGTTTGGTCAAAGGAACCACTTGACTGAATCCCCCCAAACCCCAACAGCATGCAGGACTGTATAACCTAGACACAAAGCAATCTCTCTCTTAAGGCCTCATATATTACACAACTTCATTTTTCCTGTATATTTTTTAACATCAGGTTCCAGCGTAAGACAACAGGCAAGCTCTTACCTCCCAGTATGAAAGTCCTGCCAGCCTCACCGTTATCTGGGGTATTTCACTAAACCTATTCCGTTTTATCGACATAGTTCCCCAGGGGCAGGAGAGCTGTTCTCTACATGCAGTTGTCCATAGTGAGAGCAAACTGATCCGTTCAAGCTGCCATGATAGAGCTGGGAGAGGAAGTCAGAGACTACTTGAGCAAGGGAGGGAGGGAGGGAGGGAGGAACGGCTGTTGGCTTCCTTGATGACGCAGTTAACTATTTTGTTGCTGCTTCTATCACGTTTTACCCTTGCTATGGCCATTTATAGAAATCACAGTGGCAAGAGCTGAATATGAAAAGGACAGCTGCATTAAAACCAAGTCTATTATTTTAAAAGACTGAAAGATTTAATAAAATATTTTTTAAAATAATTTTTCATGTTGGGGGTAATTATAAAAAGCACATTTTATTCCGTTCAAAACAGAAGTACACATCATATTTCATTATGATGTTATTATACTTGCTGTTATAATACCATTTTGGTTATCCAGGTAGTTCCCATACAGATTTCTGGAGAGGTTTCTTTTATACATCTACAGCATCAGACATAAGATCTCCCTATCCAATATCAGAGAAAGGGTATGTGTAGACCAGAACCTGCACCAGACCCGCATGCATGTAAAACTGGAGTAACGTGATGGTGCACGTAGCAAACTTTTTACTCCTCCCTTCTCCATGTTTAAATTTCCTTCCATGGGCCTTTGTCTCCTCTGCATTGTACTTAATGTTACTGTTCTTTTAAATATTGGTCGCTGCTTTTCAAACTTTCGAAACAGCGCTTAATTTCACAGCTTGTTACTCAGCTCTGAGGACAGCAGAAGCTGGTAAGAAGCAGCTGCATCTTTGTATCTCTAACCCTACAAGGAACAGAGGCAGGGACAGAAGCAGAAACCAGCCTTCCTGTTCTACTTCCTCTTTCAAGGGTTTTTTTCTTTTTCTTTTTAACTCTTGCTTGTTTTAATACTGAAGAATTATTTCTCTCTGGAATGATTCACTGCACCTAGGAGCTTCAACTCAACCACATCCCACACAAACATTCCTGAAGATCTGACACGCTGCATTGCCAGGTAGTAAAAATGTCAAGGGCTGCTAGGTGGTATTGTGACTTTTTATTAAAAAAAATACACTTCACATCCAGTGTTTTGCAATGAGCTTGGCTTTACCAAGGTTTCAAAGCTATCATAGAAGTCAGTGTATGTGCCAATCTGTGATCTCCAGTTTAACAGGCCGGGGTAGAGACTTCTTCCCAATTTATAACGCAACCTTACCTTTCATCCTAAAATAATCTCCTTCTGCAGATAACCCTGATTGCTACGAGCCCCTAGTTCTTGCTGTATGGCATTTGTATCAGCAAGAACAGTCAGTAAATCCCCCAACTTGTTACACAGGCTCTACTCAATTCTCTGAAGCAGCTGGTATAAAGGACTCTATGTTAATAAATGCCACGATGTGGCACTTTGCAGTGGTGAATAAGGATATTTACTGCTCCATTTTATTTTAAAATTTCCCAGAGTCTAAGCCAGCTGAGTTGCCAATGACCACATGCATCCTGTAGAGACAGATCCACGGAAAAGGGAACTGGTCTCCCTTGCATAAGGGACTGAATGTGTTGCAATCCCTAGAAGATACCCATCAGGGATGACCTTGCTGTTGTATGTTCACCACATTACACAAAAACAACTTTGTTAAAGAGACACTGAGGTTGAGATGTCAAGATAGCAAATACCAGCAGTAAAATTTCACTTGAGCATATGGCAATTTTGATACAATCTTTACTGCACAACTTACTAGTTTCTCCACAGGATTCAGTGAGGAGAATGCTCACTAGGTCGTTCTGCAATATATGGGTTGAGTTTGGTAAATGGCATTATGCTTCATTTTCTGCACTTGATTCAAACAAGCTGCAGTATCATGTTCCTTGAAGGCTTTCCAATGGTGCTCACTGCTAAACTATTTCAATGCTTTGCAGCCATTTAGTCTCTCACAACCAGGCATGATGGGAAGACATTGTTTTCTACAAACCACACATGGCAGAGAGACAGATGAAGGTCAAAAGGGTCCACAGATTTTGGATGCCCACTCCGAGATGCCTAAGGGCTGATTTTTCAAAGAGCTTCTGACTACCGACTTCAGCGACACTACTGAGTGCTCAGCAGTTCTGCAAGTTAGATGCTAGGGTTTCAAGCTGGGTAACTCAGAAAATGAGACACACAATTATTGGTCCCTGCTGGTAAGTTGGGTTGAAGTAACTTGTGCAATGTCCTGTTGGAGGTTACACCTACTACTGCCACCATTCCTGTTCTCTAGGGCAGCCCACAATTGCTGTAATCCTATAGACCCTGCCTGATTTCATTACATACCTTCCAACTTACATAATAAATGACATAAGAGTCTTACAATCTGCAGCCTCACTCCCTAGAGAACCAGACCATAGTCCACTGTGTCCACTGAATGGTAGAAGAAACCATGGGAGAAACAGCACATGACCATGTCATTATAAAGTACTGTGTACACATGATCCCAGCATGACTGTGTTTATGCACGTGCTATTTCCTAGGTTCTTTTTTAAAAAAGGGTAACTGCAAAACCAGTAATGAGATGTGGAGGCATACAGGGCCCTAGAATGAGAAAGTAGATCTCTGCCCCTTGAACAAAGCGATTAACAGGTACAAGTAGCAGGTTGCCAAGCTCTGTGGGCATAAGCACACCACGGCAGCAAGCCTTGGGTGAGAAGTTCTTAAGTCCTGCCCACCTGTTCTCAAAATGCATGCTTCAAGTCCAGAAATATGACAACAAAAGATGCTCAAAGGTGTCCCTCTGCAGCAGCTTTTGAGAACTGGGTCTCCAACATGTTTGGGAGCTACTCCTGGGAAGGACCCTGGAGCAGTTTCACTGGTGTACTTCCAAGTTTGGGTAGGTGGCGTGTGCTCAGGGTTGTCCTGCCTGGGATACACCGCCACTGCAGAGCAGACGTACCCCATGAAAACCAGACAAGAGAGGGAGACAACAATGTGCTAGTGTGTTCCCCAGTTATGCACTAAGAGCAAAATTAAGCTTTAAAAAACTTGGGCTCCACATTAAGTCTGGTAGGAAGGTCTCTCTATAGGCTACAGACTCCTCACCACAGTCCTTTGCCATCCCACCTCTTCTCTCATCTTCTGTACTCAGGGTGTGTCTACATGGTGACCATAGATCATCATGAGATCCACAAGTAGCTACACTGTACCATAGTGTAGCTACCTGGGGATCACACGCAGTCCGTCCACAATAACACAGAGTTATTGCCAAAAAGCAGTGTCACAGGCTGTCTTTGCTACCACCCCTCCTCCACCATCCCTCTGTCTTATCTCAGAGTATGGACATTTTAGCTGCTTTAAAAAGGAAGGAGCTGCTGCTGATTGGGAGTATGCAAGTAGATGCTATGATGCTATGTCTGCATGATCCTATGGTGATGCAAGTTGGTTTTTTCACCTAAAATTTGACCCTGGGTAACACAGGTTTAAAGTTGGAGCAGTTTAGGAAAACTTTATCAGTACAGAATCATGAAGACAGAACAATTAGACTGCAATCACTTGTCCCAGTATCCTCTGATATCACTGCACTGGTTATATCTGTCTATAGCCTTAGTTACCCCATTTCCCTCCCAGGGTCTTATCTGCCCCTGTAAATCTGGCCCTTGCCCCTTTTCACTTCAGTCAGGATGGTTCCTCTTCTAGGATGTCTGGACCCACTGGGGTTCAGAGAGCCAAGATGGTCTCACTGCTGTCAGGTCTACTGCCTAGTCCTACCTCATCACCAAGTGAAGAGGAAACCCACCTCCATCTCGACCCTCCTTGGCAAGGCTGCGTGAAATCGCTTCATCAGCAAGAAAGAAGCCATGATTAGGGACCTACTCAAATTTCCATTTTGCGGATTGTGTGAAATGGGGCAATCTCTGCAAAAATCAGCAGAAAAAGAAAAAAAACTTACCAAAAATAAAATGCTGGCTCCCCAATGGGAGCCAACAGTCCTCCTGGCTACACAACCCCGGCACAAAGGGGGCTGCTGGCACCAAGGCAAGCAGGCATTGGTTGAGAGGGCTGCCTGTTTTACAGTCCCGTCCCCTCCACCAATCAATATGAGGAACAGGGCCTCAGTTTCATAGTTTCATAGTTTTAGGGTCGGAAGGGACCTAATAGATCTTCTAGCCCGACCCCCCGCCAGGGCGGGAGAACAACAAAAGAACCCTAAAAACAAAAAACGGGACTCAAATGAGTCCAGCCAGGTAGGTATCCAGCCTCTTCTTAAAGATCCCCAGGGTAGGGGCCAGCACCACCTCCCTTGGAAGTTGGTTCCAGCTCCTAGCCGCCCTAACTGTGAAGTAGTTTTTTCGGATGTCCAATCTGTACCTCCTCTCCATCAACTTGTGCCCATTACTCCTTGTTATGCCAGCGGGGGCTAGGGGAAACAGCGTCTCCCCCAAACCCTTCTGGTTCCCCCCCCTCATGATGGACAGACCTCGGTAAATCAGCAGCGAGGGGTAGAACCATACGATGGACAGCCCTTGCCACCAATCAGCAGTGTACGTGTGTGTGGGGGAAATACCCTTCAACCAATCAGGAGGTATGGGGAAAGGGGGGGCGTTGGGTCACCATGATGAACCAACAAAAACGGCAAGCCAGCCCCACAATCTGCCTGTGACATTGGCTTGCAGCCGCCTCAAGTTGGGTAGCCCCCTAGCCACGATGGATGATGCAGCCATGTTCACAGGGCTCTACTGAGCATATATGCAAACCGAGATTTTCTGAAGGCTTACAGCATGGCCAAATGTAGGCACTTTTCCTAGGAGGAAAGCAAATGGCACACTGCTGATGAAAAGGCAACCCCCTGCCCAATTTCAAGATCTTGTTCTGGAGCAGGGAGCTGGGAGGTTGAGACAGAGAATTTTTAGCATCACCAAACAATGTCATTCCCCAATTTTGTTTTCATGAGCGACTGAAACGGTCTGCTTTACAAAAAGTCAACCCAAACGATACCAGTCTGGCACAGTTACTGGTAATTAGGCACAGCCGTAAAGTAAGAAGAAGCACGTGAAGAATGTGCAGATGCTTCAAGCACTGTCTGGCAGAGTCCTTCCCCGCAATTAACTGGCACCGATTACTAATGCCACGCAAGCAGCCGATGACAACTTCTGGTGTTACTGAAGACTCACATACTTCAGAAGATCAGAAAACAGATCCAGTTATGACTGGATTTACAGATTCATATTTAAAGGAAGCTGTGAATATTTCAAATCTGCAATTAAGCCTGTTAACAATTTGCCATAAAAGGCATACCATACAGAGAAAGTCCCCTTTGCTCAGTAAAATACATCACGTCTTGCGAGGCAGCATCTCTTTAAGAATGAAAAGGCTTTGGCTCATTTGGCCGGTTCATCTACTTGACTAAGCACATGAGCACAGGAGTAAGAGAAGTACGAAAGCACGCTCTTAGCGGGTCCTGGACCCGCACTGAACAGAACGGCACTCTGCTGCCCAAAAGACCAAAGGGCTCTTATCAGCACAAGAAGTTTTCTTACTCTCAAGAAGGTGAACACAAAAGAGAGAGAATACACAAATAGCTGATGCCACTTACTTTGCTCTTCTTGCTGCTGGACATCTTGTTCTTGAGGTAGCTGAAGGTGCGACTGACTTTTGTTCCACTTTTCCACTCTAAATCTTTCCTAGAGGGGCTGTTAGGTGGGAAGTTGCAGCTCTCTTCAGAGATACTAAAGCCAAGAGAGACGGACAGACATTTATTTTTCTTTTCTGCTGAATATCAGAAGATGAAGAAGATCGAAGAGGAAACACTCTTAGATTTTTTTAAAAGGCCAAACACATTTCTTCCAGTTACTGTAGGTACCGAATAGATTCATCGGTCAATGGGTGTTATGTCAAAGAAAATGGCAAGCTAATGAGAAAGTGTTACGTAGTCAGCTGCACAAACATTTCCATAGTAATTTTTTTGGTACTTTATATTCACAAACCAAGTCATAGTGCCCTCTGCTGCTGCAGGGGAGAAATAGCTGTGAACTCAATGTTTGTCAGCATTTTTCCATCGAGACAGCCAAGTCAGTATGACTACACATGTATACTCTCAGTCTCCATGCTTAATTATTAGCGTCTGCTATTATTTACTTGGATCAGACTGTTATAGAGGAAGATATACGATGAACTCTGCATGCAGGACAGCCTCCAGTAGGAAGCACTCTGTCTGGAAAGTATCCCCAATAGTTTTGATGCAGTTTAACTGGTGGTTTAGTTAAAAACAATCTTTGATAGACAACAGATTTTTCCTGGTGCCTTTCATGCAGATCAAACAGGAACTGGTTCTTTTTATTTGTTCATCTACTGGCACACAATGCACCATGCTCCAAGCCATCAAGAATTTCAGAGGGGCTGGTGAAACAGACCTCAGAGGCAAGACAGCAAGCCAGATTGATGGTAACCGTAGATAAAATAACTGTCCTGGAGCTTCTCAAATGGGAAGATGACAGAGATTTTATAAAGATGCCAAAACGCTCTGCACAAAAACCCACTGCACATGCTCTATTACCATGAAAACAGAGCAGCAGGGGCCATCTTTTTGTTACATCATCTAGCACAATTGTTTATGGACGCCGGGGGCCCGCAGACTACGTCTACGGAGTTTGCACAAGATTACTATGATCAGTCAAAACTATGTGAATACGTACACTTCCAGTTCAAAGGGGTCTGCACCTCCATTCTAAATTCCCAAAGGGGGGCACCTCCACTCAATTTTTTTTAGGGGTCCACAAATTTTAAAAGGTTGAAAAGCACTTAAAAAGGTTGAAAAGCACTGATCTAGTGCAATGGGGCTCAAACCAATAGCCATGCTAACAATCCATAGTATACATTAACTTATTAAGATATGTCCTTCAGAAGCACCCCCCCACTTGCATCAGGATGACTTTCCATCCATATCCATTTAAAGAATATGGCGTCAGAGAAGAAGTGAAATATCCACTAACAACATGCATTTCCATGAAAAAAAATGACTCTAGGAAAGGCTGCAATCTTTCCAAGAAGAGGCAGAATGCAAACCTCAGGTGAAATGTTAGTCAGCTGAGGAAACTAAGGGGAAGAGAAAACAGCTATAAAACATGTTCAAGAGCTTTCTGGGACAGAGATACAAGCTACAATTATCAGGAAAAGTAGCAGTGTATACCAGGCAGCAATCAAAGATCCAGTTCCCTCAACGCCACAAATGATATCTTTCCCTCACATTAGAAAAGATGAATTAAAGCCTCCAGCCATGCAAGGAAGAATAAAGTATGTCTAAAAACACAAAAACCCCTTGCCATCATGACAAAAGGGAAAGGGAACCAATCAGAACGACCTTACATTATGGTGCTTTATGTTGCACCACGGTTACGTAAACCTGAGAAGCTTTACATTGAAAAACAACTGAAATCGTTGTCTAAAATTTTTCTTATGTTGCATTAACCAGAAGCATCCAGAATTAACTATTGCTGGAGACAAAAATCAGAATGAGGGGTTTCAACAAAGAAAAGGTCAATGTACTATACCTCTGAGCCAGGGAACTGCTGGTACCACTGAACGATCGCGTGCCTGGAAAAGATGGGGGAAAATGTTAGACTGCAAAGTCTTGGCCACCAAGGATTTTACTTAGCGTGTAGATTCTGATAGTTAAAGGAAGAGAAGCAACTGCTTAGCAAAAGCTAAGGTGTAGTACAGGTGCCTTCTTGTGCCCAGGGGAAGACTGTTCATATTTCCTAGGGGATTCCAAATTAGTAGATCAGGTGGGGAAAAAAAAAGAGAGATGGCTTGCTTAGCAGTTTTATCACTCATCAGCTGCTAAGCAAAAGATGCAAATGTATTATTTTCACTGACATATCGGGGTGCGCAATTCTGACCCGGTAATTTAATTTCAGTATGTGAAAATGAGAAACATGTTGTCACAATACTTTTACTTATGTACCAACAGAATCCATCTGTTGTAAAAGAAATCCTGCTTTCATATCTGAAGCAGATTTCTAGTTGATAAAATTATAGCTCATTTTCCTGTCACAATCTCCAAGCATGGCATGAAGAAATATGGAAAACAAAAGGAGCCTTATTCATTTTTCTATAGTAATGTCTATACAAACTTACAGAGCTTAGTCACTCAAAAGCAGCTTTAGGAAAAAATGATTTTCAACATCCTACCCATGATACAACTTCCTTTTCACACTAAAGAAGCCCGCCTACATAGCCTACTTGGAGTGGATTACGTAGCCGCCACTATTTGCAAGGAGTGTCTGGAAATGCTAGAAAAGCAAGAGAGAGCAATTTTGATGCAAAACGATGCCTGATCATTCCTTCAGAAGCTAACAGGGCTTGTCACAAGTTGAAAGACCTCATTACAACTTTTATATTTGACCATGCCACAAGGACAACAGGCAGTGTAACTGAGCTTATAAGCATTTTGTTCTTCCAATGTAATAACAGCAGCACTTTGGCTTCCAACTGTGTTAACAGAAGTTAGAGCTGAGAGCTGATGCCGAAAAGGCCTTAGTCCTTGGCATCAGAAGCAAAATGCAAGCTAGTACAAAGCGCTGTAAGTGTATTACAAGATGCTTTTATATAGCACGATGCCTCCCTCAGTTCTAAAATACATTTGCAATTATTGACCACAGTGCTTAGAACAGCATGAAAGAAAAGATGCTCTCTTTTACCCTTCTTCTTTGATATTCAAACATTATATACTGGAATGAGCTGATCACCTGGGCATGATTTGATAGGCTGTGTCTGTATATCCTTCATTGAGTCTTTTGTTTAGCAACTTTTCTGCTCCAAATCTATCCCCCATGACAATGATAGTTATTCAAACAAATTTACTGTCTAGCTCAGGTTTGCATATACTATACTAATGACTATTACATAAATATCTAAGCACTGAAAAGGTAAGCCACAGGCTCAAGCTGCTGTCCCTTGTTAACAACATAGCAGGTCTGGTCTTTGCATGAGCTTCAATTGACTTTTAAACACAGGTTAGGAGTCGTTGATCAATATTTCTGCTATTGATTGCTTGCCTTGACTGAATTTGAACATCCCACATCTCCTATGAAGTCCTGACTGTTCTACACAGCCAGCAGAACAAGTAGCATTAAACAATGTTAAATCAAGATCCATAACAATTTAGTGTTCCTATTCTGGTTTTCTGCTCCCCTGGGAATGCCCAGAAGCTGCACTGTGCTGGCATTAATGATCTACTTTGAACCGTGGAAAATATTTTATCTTGAATAGAAGGCAGTCCAGGTGGCACCTAACAGAGTAACTCATTCAGAGAGGCATGAGCTTGTGCAGGCTACAGCCTACTTTGCCAGGTGCTATAAATGGACTTGCAGGGGTACTAAACTGAAAAGAATATAGTCATTTAAATGCAAATGACAGTGATGGACAAAACGATTCAGAGAAAAATCAAAACTAACCTGACTTCTGAATTAAACTGATTTCTAAGGTGCAAAAAGAGTTGTAAGGCCAGCAGTCTAATATTGGTTATATTGGTCATGAAAACAACAGGGTGATATTTCCTCCCAAATTGTGTCTTGGCCCTGTCTGGCACCGAAAGCTCACGTGCTGGGAAACAGCAAGAAACCCTGATCTGCAGCCTGACTTGATAGTTCATGAAAAATCTTGTTTTTGGAAGGTTTCCAGCCCTGCTGTGCAACTCCAATGAGTTTGGATTAGCAGCCAAACTTCTGGGTGTTATCTGAAAAATCTCAATCTTGTGAGCTTTACCCGCCAACCATTATTTCATGTGATCGATGGACTTAAAATAATTCATCGCCTCCGTGATACAGAAAGCAGCAACGGCATTGGCACATTCCAAATAGAACTTCTCAATGACAGAAAACAGCTTGCAGCTCCCCAAGACAGCCGGTAATTAAACTGAAGGGGGCCAGGGAATTCCAAGAGCCTGATAACAGCCATCTACCATTTGGTAATATGTACAGACCAACTTGTCAGGTAATAATTTAGGCACTTGAAATCTGCAGCTTGTCAAATGGAAAAAAAAAAGGCAATTCAAATACACAATTGTGTCAGACTAACTGCAGCCCAGTCCAGGGGAAAAGCTGGGGTTTGAAGAGGTTGGAGAAAGGCAATTAAAATGCATGCTTGATTTCAATGCAAATGCATCCATCTCTTCTCAATGAGAGCTGGACCTTGGAGAAGTAAGAAAATAAATCAAGGCAAGTTTTAGTGAATCCAGGAATACCTGTGGTGAAAGCAGCTGGGTGAGTGGCTGGGATGAAGCCAGCCTTTTTATAAAGCCATCACAGGACTGTTTGAATGAGGAAAATAAACACCAGGGAAGTAACATTTTTATGCTTTGTGACATTAAAATTCCAATGTAAGTGTTCACTGATAATAGCGGTACTGTTGAGGGAAAAATACAAGGTAGACTGATTATTTAATGTGATGACTAGACACTGCAAAGCTGGCAGGATGATTTAAAATAATAAAGAATAAAATTGGCTAGTGGTGAAGTCCTTCTACTGCAGAGGGAGAAAGCTAACACATGAACAGCTGTGTCCTGCAGAACTGCCTTGACTAGAGAATGTGGACTGGGTGTGGAACACCCTGAGGCTAGAAAATGCACGTTTAACTCTCTAGGTTGCAGAGGCAACTACGAAATGCTAATGTGGATCAACATTCAGGTATCACAAGTCCTCCAGTGACTACACACATGGAGGGTCAGTGCAATTAGACTGATAAGCTTGGTTTGAAATCTTACTTTCACTGGCAAATTTTGAGAGCTGCAATCAATTCTTTGTTTTTACAAAGCCATGACAAAAATCTCTAGCGCACGTGGCAGTAAATCATATCCCCGAAACAACTGATACAATCAACACTGAAAACGCCTCCTTCATGGGTCCAACAGGAAGAATATTTAGAATTCATCAAACACAAACTGAGAAGGCAAGGTGCTGGATCTGAAAACAAAATCCTTTTATTCTGCTGTTAGTGAAACATCCAGACACATGCCTACAGAAATGCTGTTAGGAGTCATGCAGTGGAGTGGTTAGTACAGTAAAAAGGCACAGTCTAAAGCGGAAACACAGGCTACCCATTACCTCCACCCACAAAGGTTGTGTTACATGTAAGCTACTTACTATCCGACTCCTCCTCCTCATCACTGGAAGAAGAGCCAATAGAAAAGAGAGTTTTAGACTTAGGAATGAGCGGAGAGATGTTGAAGGAGAAGGAGATTCGTCTGGATGGCCGGGTCCGTCCCTGGGCTGAGAAGTGGGTTAACAGCAGACATTAGAGCATGCTTGAAAATGCATTTAATAATAAAAAAGGAAAGGAAAGGAGCGAAAAGCACACAAAAACAAAGCAAAGTAGATGTCTGCAAAGCAGCTGGCTTCAGAAAAGGCATAAGCGGCAAAGAATTCAGCGTGTTTATTCCAAAAGATGCAGGTTTCATTCCGTGCATAACTTTTGAGTTCAAGGAGTCTCTTATTTTCATTGGCAGATTTTGCTAGCAGCTCTTCCTAGGATTTTGTATTTGAACAATTATGTTTCCAAATATAGAAGAATTTACATAACGGGTCTCTGGACAAACAGCACCTTCTTCATTGGGAGAACTGTCAAGGAACCTACTCAGTGCAATGTGTTCCAGAGACTCCCCACCAGGGCTAGAGAGCATACCGTGTCCATTTCAAATGGCACAGCAGGTGCTACTTGCAGTCAATCTACTTCACCTGAACTTTTGACTTTTTACTTTCAAAGTTTCTACCATTCCCAAACTTCAAAAAAAAAAAAAACCCAGTGAATTTACTGCCTGTGAAAGCTGCTGAACTGAAAGCCCTGGGAGACTTAAAATCCCCTGCTTTTCTTTCCAACAAATACAGCATTGACAGGAGCCTCTTTCCTCCTGTTCTCTTCCAATGTACATAACACTTGTTGAAAAGGAAATACCTATAGCTGGGACCAACAAGGTTCCTTGGGTGAATCTGATATCTTTTATTAGACCAACCCAAATGGTTGGAGAATAGTTATTAAGCAAGCTTTCGGGTTCAACAACCCTTCGTCAGGCTCAGGAAGCTGCAGCAGTTGGTGTGTGCTCTTCCTGGAACCAGCATTTCTGTAATCAAATCAGTCTTTACTTTAAGGAATCTGCCAACTCATGTACCAAATTTGGGGATGATTTTGTAATATCGACACCCCTATCTTCTATTAACAGGTCTTAGGCTACCAACGCACAAGTGTAAACTATGTTTTACTTATTTTAATTCACCTTGTGGAATCATAATTTCACCTCCCAGTGCTATGCATCTTCCCTGAAATCAGGAGAAGAGCCAACATGGATGGCACATTCCAGTGTCTTTTGAAATCTATCCAAATGAAGGGCACTCGGTTGTACTGGCATTTTCAATTAATTTTTAAGAGAAGTGCCTTGAGAGCAGTGATCTCTCTTAATTAAACCAAAGTGCAGTTTTCTTGAACAGGGTGACATATGAGCCCTGATGGCTAGCACAGAAAAAATCCCACAGAATTCAATAGGATTGAAAAACAATATGAATGTAATAGGTTTCTTAAATAGAGGAAAATTCTCTTAGGATCTTACAATGGATATCTTGAAATCTTAAAATAAATATTCTCCGGTCTATACCAGGGGTTTTAGGCTACGTGACAGGGGCTAGCGACCTTTTCCTGGATGCCTCCGCAGCCCTGGCAGCTAGGGAGCTGTGCCCGTGCGACCACTGCTTCTCCCAACCCGGCAGCCCCTTGGCCGACGTGAGTGGAGCTTCCACCTGGAAGGGAGCTGCTCTGGGGCTGGGGAGCTGGAAGGTGCTTCTGCACTGCTGCTGCTTCTCTCTGCCTGTCTGCTCACCCTCCAACCCAGTCCAGCCTCTAGAAGCTGCACTCACACTGTAACCTTGGGGAGAGGAGAAGGGGGAAGGCTTAATAAGGATGAAATTAGATAAGGATTTTTTTTTGAGAGGATAAAGGCAAAAGGGAAAATAGGAAGATGGGTACTCCCTCCTTGAAATGAACATAGTTTTAAGAATGCAGGCCAGAGCCAGAAAGGTATTTAGGAGCCTAAGGTGAAACCAGTAGGAGAGTTAGGGATCTGGAAATGGAAATGAGTTAGGCACCTCTATATCTTTTTGCATCTGGACCCTAGAGTAGAAGTAATTTCTCTTCAGTGAATTCAAGAGCAGCTTTTGCTTCTTGAGACAACTAAATAGACATAAGACAGCACATACACTTGGAGCAGTATGGTTAGCTGAAAAAAGGCACCAAAGGAAATGGGAAGCTAATATAGGAACTCATCCATATCGCTGGTTAGCCAAAAATGTGACCTACCTTTTAAAAAATATTTTTGCAGGATTCATGGCATTCTGTTGAGTCCTCAGGCTGTTTACTCACAAAACAATAGATGTTTTAATGGACTATTTTCTAACGCAGGCCAGAAATGCCTATAGTAAAACTCGGCCCTCACAACTAAATCAATGAGCACATCCAAGAGCTTGTGAGAAATACCTTTGCACAAACAAATCAACGTGCATGCACTTTAGAGGAAAATACCAAAGAAACACACAATCCAGGTTCATGCTTCCAAGAGAAAATTGGAAAAAAACAGAAATACTTAATATGAAGGGTATTTTGACCATGTATAAAGTACACGATGTAATTTTGTAGCTCTACTGTATGGTATAACTGCAAATGGGACTATAAGGAATGAGGTGCGGAACACCTTATCTTGCAAAATCCCTTGCAACCATACCTCTTCCTTGGGTCAAAACGTCCGCATGTGAAATGGTTATGGTTCTGTGGTGCATCTGAAGACCAATGCCACCACTTAATGTGAAACAATCCTAGAGACATGTTACCCAATTGAAAGAATCTCTCTGAAATGTTTGCAAGCGACAGCGTGCAGTTTTTGTGTTGTTACTATTCCTATTACACGTGCTAACTGGCAAACAAGCAAAAAAAACCCAACCCCATCACAGTCCCTCTCACTGTCACGGTTCTGAACAACAGGATTGCAAAGCACTATTTTTTCTCCTTTTTAGGTTACCATCTGCTCAGATGGTTCTTAAATAGCAGCGTTATTTTAATGTAGAAAACCCAAAACTCCTCAGAAAGCTTTAATTCCTCCATTTCCGTAACTGTTATTTTGTTTTTCCAAAGCCAGTGGGAGCCTTTCGAACTTTCCAGCCAACAACTGTTGTGAACTCTCTAACTGCATAAAATGCTGAAGCATCAAAAACTGTGAATGGTCACAGTACCACCAGCCAATTCCCTTTGGGAAGACCAGGGACATCAAATTAGGAGGGATTAGAAGATGTTCAATTCTAGAAACAGCCACTAACTATTCCAACAGGCATGATGATGCACATGGAGAGACAGAGAAAGGCCAATACTCCCCCGACATTTAAAAACTTGGGAGTTCAGTTATGGCTGTGGACATAAATTCCTCTCTTCTCACCTGGGCTAACTTGCAATGTTTGGGAAGTGTTCTTTTATATCATCTACTCTAAAATCAAAATCATTGAGATTTGGTATCTGGTATAACTGTAAGCATTGCACTGTGAAAAGATGAATGCCCAATTCTGAGAATACAACAGGTGTTATATGTTATGCTGTGACATTTTCCAGTGACAGGCTCTAAAGGACATCATGCAAAATAAGGGTACACCGTCCCACTGGACAAATAAGTAATAACATTCAAATATTATAAATATACTAATAAATTATATCCCACTATCCAAAAGGTTCAGAGCAACTTGAAGATGAGGAAAAGCAAAATGAGTTACCCAAGTTTTCAATGCGAGTGTCAGGATTGGGAACAGAACCTATGACCCAAAGTTTCAAAAGGGCTAATGATTTCGGAGGCCTCATTTTTGGGGTATGCCACTGCAAACCCTTCACAGCTCAAAAAAGACCCTAGGTTTTCAAAAAGCATGGAACACTCATGCTTTCAAAATCAGGCCGTCTCTCAAATTGGTCACCCAAGTAATTAGGACTCATAACTCATGATTCCCTGTCCCCAATTTGAGTTGCTAAACTAGTCTCAGTAGTCCACCCTGAACTGGCTGTCAAGCGCTACGTGCTCCAGCTCCTTCTGTTTGAGTTACTGTTTCCACTCCTGAGCATTTAAGACAGAGACCACTGGCTCAGCTGACATTAAGTAGATGAAAGATTTGGGGAAAAAGGTTTCTGATCAAATTGATCTATTACTAATTCAGGCCTAGGTGGTGGTTGTAGAGTGCACTATAAGAAGAGCAAATTCTTTATAAAGTGGGCTGCAGTTTACATGAATTTGAAACAGTGGCATAAGTGTCCCTCAAATGCAATCCCCACTCTATGAGCCTGACAGAACGTTTCCAAGTAATGGGAGACTAGCACTAGGCTGCCAACCTTCCTCACCCACTGAACAAGCCTGTATTCTGGGAGTAACCATGTTATTTATAGTGTTTGGTTAGCAACTGAAAATGATGCCAATAAACTGTTTGCTTCAAAAAAATGAAGGGCTTCAGCAAAAGGAGGGAAGAAAGTGTGACAAAATAGAGTAAGATGCAGTCCTTTTTACTGGGTGGATTTGCTGGTGTTTTGGTTACTGTTGCTGGGGGACACATCCGTAGACCACATACTTATTATTTCATGGAAGAAACAGGGAAATGAACTTAAAAATGGCACTTAAAAGCACCCTCTCTGTTAGGTTTGGAAGCTTGGATGGGAGAACCTACTCAAACTCCTTCCTTCAAAAGAACCTTTTTACTAGGGAGTGCAAACATTTGTTCTGAAATACAGCTCATTTTCTACCGCATGCTTCTACTGAAGGTAATGGATTTCTGGCACTGA